GTCGTTGCATGCTCCAGAATAGAAGTTGGGAATTTTTTTCTGAGTCTGCAGTTGCGTGAAAACGTTCATTTTGAGATCATGATTTAGCAAGCGGGAAAAAACCAGCATTAGCCGCGATTTCAATAAAATATTGAAGGATTTTAGACTCAAGTTTCTTCTTTAGAGGACAGAAATTTCAAGTCTGTACTTGCTCTCAGATAAAAGTTAGAAGGCTTTTTTGAAGAGTCTGCACTTGCGTTAAATCGCTCATTTTTACACCAACATTTGCAAAAGGCGCAAAATTTATGGGATTTCAACAAAATATTGAGCGTCTTCAGATTCAAGTGTCTTCTATACTCTGCGAAATTGTCAAGTCGCTACTTGCGCTACATTAGAAATTGGAAATTTTTAACCGAGATAATGCAGTTGCGTGAAAAGCTTTACTCCTACTACCAACCTTTCCAAAGGTCCCACACATCTGAATTTTATGCGACTTGAATAAAACTTCGAGGGTGTTGAGACTGAAGTCTCTTCTATAAACTGTCAAAAAATCAAGTTGCTACATGCTCTCGATTAGAAGTTGGGATTTTTTTTCGAGAACATGCAGGCGCGAGGAAACGTTCACTTTTGCACCAACATTTACAAACAACGCGAAATCTTGAATTTAATGCGACTTGAATGAAATGTCAACTGGTTTTAGATCCAAGTCTCTTCTATACAAGGAGAAAATTTCATGTTGCTGCATGCTCTAGTTTAGTAGTTGTGAATTTTTAATTGAGCGCCTGCAGTTGAGTAAAAAAAGTTTATAAAGTGCGCAAAAATCAGCCGTTGATCCAAATTYWAAGACATTTTCAGGCTGTTYAGATTCAACTGCGCTCTATCCAATGACGTASAAAAATCACCCTCACTTCCTGCATTTTACATTAAAATTCCCGGCTGACTTCCCCAGCAAAATATGCCCCAAACACGCCACTGTTCAGTAGAAAAACCGCCGAATTTTGGGGCTGAATAAATTAACAACCCACTAACAATCCATGAACACGCCAACAGAAGGTTAAAAATCGGAAAAATTCCTCCGAAGCAGTTTTGCCAGCCAGGATAAATATAGAGTTTTGAGTGGATTAGAGGCGGAAGAGGTTTTACTGGGAAACTTTGAGTTGACGTGTTATTGACGGGATTTCGAGCACTAAAACCTTGCGCTTTAACCCACAAGAATTCGTTCAGCATCAGGCTGGATTCGATAAAAACTACCAGAAAACCAGCGGAAAATTGTTTATTTCTGTGGAAAAAGTTGTCGTCTTGCCTGCTAGGCAACAAAACGATCTGCTATCGGGCAAACAATTTTAAAGCCGCAATAATTTCACTAAAACAAACCCATAAAACGTCGCAATTTGCTGATTATCCGAAACTCGTATCGCTGGGGGGTCATTTTGCGAAACACTTCGGTTGCAACAAGTCAAAAGCCAAAAGAAATTGCCTAATGAGGACCAGAAAGAGTCCAATCTCAATTGAAAAAGTAGAAACTTGCGACAATTTACGACGAAAAAATTGAACATTTTCCTCAATTCTCTGATGTGGCGTTTGCATATTCATCGCGTGGGTGCGTGCTTAAGTGAATTTTTCAGGCCACCCGATACAAAACGAACAAAGCAACCCGTTTTCCAACACCAGTGAGTTTTTGAGTTTCAATCAAGTGGCATGGAGGGTGTTATTGAACCTTGTTAACCCATTTTAAGGCTCACCTGTTCTCGATTGAATGGTCGCCCCATTTTTCTCGTTGCATAAATAGTCCCGTTCCCTGTAGCTCATCTTGTCGAGTTGCTCCCAAATAAAATCAGTCTTGTTGGTGCGGTCCTTATTGATTCATGCCTCTTTGCAAGACCTGCAATTAACAGTAAAAAATACAGTTTTTGTCGCAGTTTGGGCCGATTTTCCAAAATTTTCGTTCTTTAACACACTGCAAATAACTGCGCCGAACATTGACTGTTCTAAGGGTGCTTTTACTAGTCAGATGGTATTCCTTACCGTTTTGAACAGTTTCACTAATCTACACCATCCTCTACTGGGTTTGCACTGGTGCGAGTACGAAATGAGGAGTTTGGAAAAATTCGCCCTTATCTGCCAAGCTCAGTCCGATATAATTGAATAAATAAGGCCTCAGTTGTTTGTTCCTTTTATCGTCTGATATTATATCATACATTAGTACAATCGTGTCGTCCAACCTTTGACCCAGCCAAATCGGATTTGGTCTACTTGCACTACTGAGAGTGTCGTCGAGGAAAAAAAGTTGAGGCCAACATTTGTAAAAACCGCAAAAATCAGGGTTTGATGCCAAACCAACCAAATTTTAAGGGGGTTGAGATGAAGAAGTCTTCTGTAGGCTGTGGAAATTTCACGTTGCTACCTGCACTAGATTCGCAGTTACGAATTTTTATTGGCGAGCCTGCAGTTGGGTGAACACGATCATTTTTAGACCCTGATTTACCAAGCGCGCAAAAATCAGGCCTTGATGTGATTTGAATAAAATATTGGGAGTGTGCATATTCAGGCACCTTCTATAGACTGAGAAAATTTCAAGTTGCTACATGCTCTAGATTAGAAGTTGGGAATTTTTCTTGAAGACCCTGCTGTTGCGGTAAAACGCCAATTTTCAAGCCAACGTTTGCAACGAGCGCAAAAATCAGCATCCCGGGCGATCCCAATGAGATTTTCAGGTTTGTGAGCTTCAAGTGTCTTCTACAGATTACGAAAATTCCAAGTTGTTACATGGTCCAGATCAGAAGCTAGAAATTGTTATTAGCGAGTCTACATTTAGGTGCACACAGTCATTTTTAGACCAACATTCAGAAAACGCGCAAAAAACACCATTGGATGCGATTTCAATAGGGTATTCAGGATTTTTAAACTCAAGTGTCTTCCATAGACGGAGAAAATTTCAAGCTGCTTGACCATGGAGATTAAAATTTAGAAAATGTTATTTAAGAGGGTGCAATTGCGTAAAAACATTCGATTTTAGACCAACATTTACACAACTCCCAAAATTCATAATTTCAATCCAATTACATAAAATATGGAGGGGCTTTAGAATCAGGTCTCCTCTACAGGCTGTGAAAAATTCAAGTTGCTACGTGCTCTAGATTAGAAGTTGCGAATTTTTCTTGAACACCCTGCAGTTGCGTTAAGTCGCTCATTTTTAAACCAGCATTTTCGACGAGCGCAAAAATCAGCATTTTGCGGGATTTAAGCGAGATTTTCAGGTTTGTTAAACTTGCAAGTCTTCTACAGGTTGGGAAAAGTTCAAGTTTCTACATGCTCTGGATTAGAAGTTGCAATTTTTTATTGAAGACCCTGCAGTTGCGTTAAGTCGCTCATTTTTAAACCAGCATTTCCGACAAGCGCAAAAATCAGCATTTTGCGGGATTTAAGCGAGATTTTCAGGTTTGTTCAACTCGCTTGTCGTCTACAGGTTGG